GGGAGGGCAAAGGCGTGTGAGGTTCTCCCATGTTGAATGGATCACTTTAAATACTAACAGGCTGCATGTTAAAATTGATCTGTGAGTGAAGGGGAGAGGAGAATGGTGGTAGTTGGACAGGCTTTGCAACAAGTAAAAAGAAAGAATTGCACATGGAGGCATTTTCTCCTTAAATTTTCTTCACATTTTTGTTAAAAAAAAAAAAAAAAAAAGATTCAATCGCCTTTCCCATCTGCAATCCACTGGGCCAGGCTCTTGATCCCTCTTATAGGAGTGTTTTCATCCAGGCTCACACAAAGCCCCCTCGGCCACCTCTCCACTTTAAGCAGAAGCAGCTGCTTCGTGATTCTCTTTTAAGCAGGCTGTGTGCCGGCCTGGACAGGGGGCTTCTTCGGGGGGCCCAGCCTCGAAGAACACCCAGTCTCTGGCATGAAGAAAAGGTGCCCACCCTCATCACACCCAGTCTCACTTCATTTTCCTTCCACGTCCTGAGGCCTGTCTGACCCATGATTGCACTGGAAGCCTCAGGGAAACTCAGACAGCACCTGCTCCTTGAAAACTTGACTGCCATTTTAGGTGGTCTGCAAGCCCCCCACCCCTTCTCCCCCTGCCCTCCCTATATGTAAAGAATATTCTAATTGAAGGGAGGGAGCCAGAAATGTTTCTACTTCCTCCTTTCTTACTGTTTTCCCCCAGCTGGCATGGCATTATAGATTCATTGCCTTCAAAATGTAATTTTAGAAATGTCAACTTGATTTTGAGTTCTGGGAGAGTGAGAAAAACTCCCGTCAGCTTCAGAATTAGAAATTCACCAACGAAGAAAGAACCAGCGCTTTTTGACAGAGGTTTATGCCCAAGAAAATGTGATCTGCTCAGAGCTGGCAGCCCTGGGAATCCGGAGTTGCCAGTGGGCTTATAGATGGGCTCACCCATCATGCTGTGGCCAGTCTTTCCATTGGGTGTGGGGCCAGGCCTGAGACCCCTGAGGTGTCATGAAAGGCTGCCTGGCCATCTGGGTCCATGGCACCTGCCAGACCTCTCCTGCCTTCTGCTCGCGCTTTAGCTCCGAGAGCCAACTAGTTGAACTTCTTGCTTCCCTTTCTCAGAGATGAGTGCGGAGACCTCTCCCCAGGGGCCTACCCTGGCAAAGGCTCAGGGCTGACTATTAGCACAACTGACTTTGCAGTGTGTCAAAGTCGCATCTGTCTTTGTGATCAACTGGTGTCCTCCAGACAGGCCATGGCAGTTAATCCTCTGCTTTGGTTTAAACCAGCTCCCCAGTCCACTGACTGGCACCACTCACAGGGCAGTGAGGTAGGTCCCTTCAGCTTTGTGGGAAGATAGGTTTCAGCTTGGCACCAAGCTGAAATGATTGGCAATGGCAACCAAGAATTCTGCACTGAGAAGGATTCTGAAAAATGAATGATGTTTGTGATAGGTATGGGCAAGGAGTGGTGGCAATAATACTATATATTTCCTAACACTGCATTAGACCCTGACCTTCGTGGGGCTTATAGAGTCTTCCCCCTCCTTCTCTTCTCATTATTATTATTATTGTTGTTACTATTTTTCTCCTCCCCCTCCCCCTCTTCTTCATCAAAAGTAACTAGGATTCTGTCTAATGAACAAAATAAAGTGACAAACAAAAAAGATCCAGAGACATTGAAACATGCAACAGACTGATGTATTTCAGAGGGAAGGGTTGGGGGGGTGGGAAGAGATAAACCAATGAACTTATATTCATATATGCATAGCCCATGGGCAGACAATAGTGCTCGGAAGGCCTGGGGAGGGGGCTGGTGCGGGGTGGAGGGGGTCAATGAGGGGGTAGACATCTGTAATA